AATTAGCCACATCTATGAGTCCAACATTTCATCTTGTATCTCATTCGGGGCAATGAGCCCTGGGATAGAAAGCATCCGTTGTCGCTCTCTTTCCCTCTGTACAGCAGCCTCTTCTGCATAAAGATCTTTGTTGTCCTGCAGAAAGCATAGCTAATTGATCAGTTCACTCATCAATGCCAACCATATAAAGAAATAGGAAAATTACTACCATCACAAATAGACATGTACAGAAACTTCTAAATTTTAACTAAAATTAACAGTTAATTGAACAACAACAATGATAAACGGTAGACCCTTTACAAGCTCATCAGCAAAAACGAATACTTGTTTACTCTTTCAAAACATTACCTGAGCTGAAAATTCTTTTGACTGCACAAGGAAGTCCCGAATGTGATTCTTAAATGTGGACAAATCATTTCTCGACTCAAATAGTCCATTCACATGCACAACATTCCGAGCTTGCATACCCTTTTAACCTAGGATGAATCAACGGTACTTCAAAACAAGTCATCTAACAGTCTACACTGCATCCCAACCATCATGATGAATACAAATATCAAGCTGGAGCTAGAAACCGCCTACAATGACTTGATCGATGTATGATATATATATATATATATATATATATATATATATCCCTACGTCAAACACCTAAATATTCTAACATCACCAATGACATAGAGGCAGCTCTCCAGTGGCCAAACCTGCGTGCAGCAGCGCCTTCACGATTCACCGCTTTCAACAAATATAAAATTTTTGGGAAAAGATGAGAAACAATGGGTGAAAAATGCTGTATCACTAGTAGTAAAACCGAGACGTATCTTAACTCCCCAGTCAAAGTTTAAGAGCACTTGCCCCATTCGATGTAGCATGCGCGAGAAGACTGATTCCAGATTTCCGAAGAGGATTCCTTCAGGCAAGTCACGGATGCGCATATTAGACATTCCAGGAATGAAGTTGAGGGTTTCGTCTTCTCGCCCAACAATGCCTGTATTTACACATACATGTATTGGTTAAAGGACCCTTCCAATATAGGTTTGTAAAAATTAATGTACAAAAGCTACAAGGGAAATGGAGCTATTAGCTTTCAAGCCATTGAAATGACAAATCTATTGACTAATGGAAGAGTTCTTTTTCTTTTTTCACGGACAATATTAAGTCATTGTCCTTTTTCAGGTTTCAGGAAAATATACTTGCAATCCTACAATAGCAACAAAGACTATTTCCCATTACAGGGAATTTGCAATAAAAAAAAAAATCAGAGTCTACTATTATATTATATCAACTAGTGTATAGAATGTGCCATCAAACATATGTCAGGAAAAGGAAAAAAGAAAGGAAAGGAAAGTTACCTCCAACTCCTAAGTTTTCCCTTATAAGATCAGTGTAAACATGGGAAGAGAGGGCGCAAGGCCCTGCAGTCCAAAAGGGTAGCCACGGCACACCATTCTCCTCTGCCATCTCTTTGGCAAACCAAAAGAACGCATCAGTAACCAAGCAGCTTACTTTCCTCCCCGTCTCTGCCACGGCCACTTCCATTCCCTTCCTTAAGTTCTCAGGTGCCACTTCCATGAACAACTCAATATCCTCCTGAGGCTTCCCAACAAAAACATAACCATCCGGAACTCCGTCCGGTACGTTATAGGCTTTAATGTTTGGTTTCGTTTGTTGAGACGTGGTGGAGAAGATAGAGTTGTTGGATTGTGCAGTGCTGAAGAAGGAGAACAAAGTGGTTGTGGAAGCAGCGGCTAGGCGGTTGATGATGGTGAGGAGTGGAGCAGCGTGGGTGCCGAAGGGGAAGGCAAGGACAGCAACATGGGTGTCAGAATTGGTGGGCCGAGGCATGGTATTAGAAGGTTAGATTGCTGCTGGTACGGGAGAGATTGTTGGCTTGTGGGCTTGAGTCTTGCAAGAGTTTAAGTAGTACATGCCTGGATGAAACCTAAACCTAACAATGTGGGGGTTGGGCAGTTGGCACGTGCTAATCGATACAGCGACAGAGTGAAGCATGGTAACCACCGTTGAAAGGTTTCTAACTTCTGCTTTAAACAAAGAAAAACAATTTGTCCAACTTCAACTTACTTTAAACAAAGTAAAAAGTATATTTTCTTCCTTTGAAACTATAATAAAGTTGAAAACAAAGACAACGCCCTGTAGCCCAAACACTAAAACACATAACGATGGCATTCTACTTTAAATAAAAAAAAAAAAAAATTC